AATCGGTTGTTGGTTTTTATCAACTAGGTTGGCATATGTGTTTAAAGCATTACTGCATGTTAGGGCTGGGTGATATGACAATACATATCGTGGCGATGATATAAAGTGTGAATCGACGGACATTTTTCTAAATCGTTTACATAGATAGATAGGCCTGTTGGGGAAAGCAAATATATCCGTGCAGCTTTTAGTGGGCAGGAATTATTCATTCATTCATTCAAAAGGAAGCATGGATGAATGAGTAATAGAATGTGATGTGCTTGGTGCAATTGCACTTATTATAAGTGTATATGTGTATGTCCTTTATACTTCTATGGCTCTCAATAGATTCAGTGGTTGGAGTTGGGTTAATACTCCTTGATAATTTCTGTTGCTACTTTCTGATTACGTTTCTGGCTACATTTAAAATCAAAACATATTGATCATTTAATAATTGTTGTAATGCTAAAATGTTTGTTTTCAACTTCCAAATAGGTGTCCAGTGATTGATAAATAAATATTTGATTTCTGAATATTGTACCCTAATTGAAGTAGCTGTTTAAATAGGATCATGATTTTACATACCATTGCATGAATGACTGCCTGACACATAATATATTATTATATTTATAACTAACAATCAAATGATTAAGTAGTTAGAAACTAGTTTCTATGAATACAGGTGCCATCAGTTGTCTTCTTATGAATGACTTGTTTGTCATTGAGTCAGTGCTGCTGATGCAAAGTAGGCCCTTTGTTACCAAACACCAAGTAACTAAATTAGGATACAATTATGAGTCATTCGCAAACTGTTAAACATTAAATTGTTGGTTACTTTAAAACTAACCTTCATCGGGAGATCACAGGGATATGTGAATATTTGATCTGTTAACTGGTTGCATATGTCAGATTTATTGCATGACTCGGGCAGAGAAAAGCTGTTGCTATCAAACATTGTTCACAAACATCAGTGTATTGGTGAAGAGATAGATCAAATAGGCCAATTGATGGAAGGTTTGCGAAGAAATTTCATGCTCCCTTGTAAAAGTATTTTTTTTGTATTTTTAAAATACAAAAATACAGTAGTTTATTTTGATACTTGGTGTGGCTGCTGTATTTTGTAGTTTATTTTGATACACTTAAAATTAAGGTATTTGGTATTTTATTTTAAAATAAATTTTGATGTATCTTTGCCCAACCCTGCCTACAAGCCACTTTTGTGTTCTTCTGTGCCACCTCTGTAGTACAAATTAATTTTTTATTAATACTAATTTCTTATTATTGGTAACCTATTTGTCTTATTCTACTTATTATTATATTGTTTTAAATAGAAATTTTTATATATATACTACCAGTCAAAAGTTTGGAATAATTAAGTCTTCTTTGTTCACCAAGACCGCATTTATTTGATAAATTACAGAAAAACAATTTCAGATAACTCTATTCTATTTTAATATATTTTGAAAAGTAATTTATCCATATGATGGTAAACTAAATTATTATTGGTCCACAATTATTAGAAATGGGTCTTATTATTATTACTGTTGAAAACTCTTTTTGTGAAAATTCTGCTGAAAATTCAGCTTTGCATCATGTTAACAGGTTTTACCATGTTATTACAACATTTAACCACTTTTTATTAATTAAAACATTGAGAAATTCTTTCAAATTTAAATATTGTACAAGAGGCATTTTAAAATATATTCAAATAGAAAAGAGTTATTTTAAATTGTAATCATATTTCACAGTATTACTCTTTTTACTGTATTTTTGTTCAAGTAAATGCAGCCTTGGTGGGCAAAAATATTACATTTTACTTCAAAACATTTGACAGGTATTATTACTATTGTAACTCAATGCTTCTTGTATTAAACATATTGAACTTGTTATTAAAATATAAACATATTTTAAAGAAACATTGCTAGCATTTATAGTTGTAATGTTAACATTTTCATAAAAATTTAAATGTATTATTATCATGAAATGCCACTTATTTTGGTCTATTTTTAAAATTGTTTTTCAGCACAAAGATGCTTATCAGGTCATTCTGGATGGCGTTAAAGGAGGTCCAAAGGAGAAGCGACTGGCTGCGGGCCCAAGCCTTTATGGGGCCCTAAGCAGAATTTTATTTGGGGGCCCCCCTCGGTGTCGCCAATACGACTGATTCAAATGTATTATTATCATGAAATGCCACTTATTTTGGTCTATTTTTAAAATTGTTTTTCAGCACAAAGATGCTTATCAGGTCATTCTGGATGGCGTTAAAGGAGGTCCAAAGGAGAAGCGACTGGCTGCGCAGTTCATTCCAAAATTTTTCAGCAGTTTTCCAGAGCTGGCCGATGCAGCCATCAACGCACAGCTTGATCTGTGTGAGGATGAGGATGTATCTGTGAGTAAATCATCATCATCATCATGTCAGAGATTTGCATGTTGTGGGTGTGATACCGGAAAACAAATCTCTACATTATTGGTTTGTCTTTCCTGGTTTCCTGATTATAGATCAGAAGGCAGGCTATCAAAGAACTGCCCCGTTTCGCAGCAGGAGAGAATTTACCCAGAGTCGCAGACATCCTCACACAGCTGCTGCAGACAGGTCTCACATCTACTAAGAACCTGGTTTTTAGGCAGTGTTAACAAAGTTCCTGCATTTCTGCATAAACTAGTGCAACTAAATAACATACTGTTTTTCCAGCTGTTTGATCATAGTAGTTTCTTCTCATATCTTCTAGATGATTCTGCTGAATTCAATCAAGTCAGCACAGCTTTGATCTCTATATTCAAAATTGATGCAAAAGGTATCCATGTTCATTATACCCTCAATGCTTTATGGATAGAATGTGTTTTCTGTTAATTATACGTACAAAAATACTGACTGTTTTTGTGTTGTGTCTGCCATGACGAGTTATTGTCCTCTTTGACCCTGCCGTCTTTCTTTACAGGAACTTTGGGAGGCTTGTTCAGTCAGATCCTGCAGGGAGAAGATATTGTTCGGGAAAGAGCGATTAAGTTTCTCTCTACTAAGTTGAAAACAATGCCGGATGACACAATGACAAAAGAGGTGGAGGATTACATCTTCATAGAGACAAAAAAGGTATCATTCATATTTCCGTTTTCCACACATATACTACCGTTCAGAAGTTTGGGGTTGGTAAGATTAAAATATTTTTGAAAGAAGACTCTTGTGCTCACCAAGATTGCACTTATTTGATCAGTAAAAACAGTAATATTGTGAAATATTATTACCATTCATAATAACCGTTTTCTATGTAATTCATTCCTGTGATGAAGCTGTTATTAGTACCAAGTTTATGAAACAGAATTGTTTTATTACAAAAAATATATACCCAGGAAAGTTATTTTTACACAGAAGACAAACACTTTAATCTAAAATTCTATTTATAGGATTTTCTGCTATTTATACTACTTATTGCAAACAGCCTCACCAAGATTGCACTTATTTGATCAGTAAAAACAGTAATATTGTGAAATATTATTACCATTCATAATAACCGTTTTCTATGTAATTCATTCCTGTGATGCAAAGCTGAGTTTTCTGCATCATTACTCCAGTCTTCAGTGTCACATGATCCTTCAGAACTCATTCTGATATGATTTGATGCTCAAGAAACATGTCTTATTATCAATTTTGAAAACAATTGTGCTGCTGTTTTTGTGGAAACCGTGGTACATTTATTTATTTTATTTTTTGATTAATAGAAATTTTCAAATAACAGCATTTTATTTAAAATAGAAATCATTTGTAACATTAGAAATGTCTTTATTTTGTAATGTATCCTTCCTAACTCTGCCATTGCTGGTCCCAAGCCCGTAGTATTAATTCATTTCAAACAAACAAAAATCAAGATTTAAAGACTAGTTTAAATCTTGTTTAAAATGCATATGCTCTTTATATTTACATTAGTTTTATATACCGTATTGGCCCGAATATAAGACGACCCCCCCTTTTTCCAGATGTACCTTTTGGAAAAAGGCTTTTTAAAAACCTTGTCTTCAATTATTTTCATATTGCATATTTTTCCTATTTTAATTTTTGTACTTATTGCAAATAGTGGCAATTATCTGCACCTCAGTATTGTAGTACATTATAAAACAGTATGCAATAATAACGTATTGAGTGTAAATTTTAATTAAAATTATTAAATGGATGCCACCTCCTACACCTACCCTAACCCTACCTGATACTTTATTTTCAACTTTTTGATTATTTCCTTCATTTTCATTGAAAATAAATGCTTTTCTGATGTGATTTGAAATTTGAAAAGGGAGAAAAAAGCTTGCCAAAAGGAGGATTTGAACCCGGGTCGATCGCGTTTAAATGAAAAAGTCACACGGTTTAACATCTGCGCCAGTGGAGCAGATGACTATTGACTGTCTTTTGTATTGTTCACTATCCGAATCACACGTTGGCGGGCGGAGTTAACGTGAATAGTCTCTGCCAACAAGGCGGGCTATTTGCACGTTTAGTGTAAATAGATACTCCGAAAAAAATCAAGCCATTTCATGTACTCTTGGGGCCCCCCTGGTGGCCACGGGGCCCTGAGCAGCTGCTTAGTTCGCTTGGGCCGGCTCAATTTTGCAAAATATTCAAGTAATGCTACAATGAATATGACTGTAAATTTTGTCATTCTTCTATTGCATTTTGTCTATCGTTATTATTATTTGTTTTAATCAATAAAATAAAACGGGCCATTCCCATTAAGTTTAGTGGCATTCTTATTCTTCATATGTCACTACAATCACTATATCTATCTATCGACAATATATATATATATATATATATATACACATACAGTATGTGTATGTATGTATGTATGTGTGTGTGTGTGTGGGTGTGTATATATATATTGTTTTACCATCAATTTAACCCCAATTTGAAGAACCAGTAGTGACCGTTAGCTTTCAGTTTCTGTATTTATTTATTTGTTTGTTTTAAATGTATTAATCAAATTTGACACTAAAATAATTACTTTTTTTTAGATTTAGCCCCATGGTTCACTGAATGTCAAGTCACCTTTTTCTAGCACTTTATTTTAGACAATAGTGCCATTATTTAGCTCAAGTCAGTTCTGTGTTGGTTCTGTTCAGATCGATAACAGTGTAAAGTTAATCAATAAGTACAATGGGGCTAAAGGCCGCAATATGATGGTTAATAGTGACAATTTCTTTTCATTTCCTTTCCCCCAATGATTATTGCCGTTAGACACTCAATCCAGCAGATGGCGCTCTTAACCAATAACGCTGTCAATCTTCTCCCAAAAGCGCCGAAGAAGCCGTTCATCCCGCCGCCGCACAGAGCAACAAACCCAAGCTGGCGGACTGCACGCGAGAACAACGATCGCTTCCAAAATAACATCCCACTGCAGCCCACATTACATCTGTGCTCTAATACTGTGACGCGTTTGAAGACATTTCGAGCGGATACAGCGGGAGGAGCAGCAAAACCGCCGTTATTCATTGAAACCCCCTGGTGAAGTCGGACACGCTGATGGCGGCGACAGTGGAGGAGCTCTACCGTAACTACGGCATCCTCGCCGACGCGAAAGAGGATCTCAGCAAAGTAAACAAAGCCTCATATCTCTGTGTTGTCTGTCTAGAGGAAAAGTGCTCATTTGATATTCAGTTTGGGTGGGGTTTTATTCATCGAAAGACTCTAGTGTATCTACGCGGCCTCCTCTAACGCACTAGCACATTAGCGCTAATAGCTGACCAGAGATGTGTGGGGGGTTTGAGTAAATAAGCTAACAGGGCCATATGCAAGCTTTTGGGGCAGCTGTGTATGCAGAAAGGGGTTTTTTTCTGTTTGTATCTGATGAAATGCGTTGGTTAAATTTGAATTAGGACATTTAGGCTATCCATCTAATAGTAGCCTACCAAAATCTTATTAACAGTAGAAGTTAAATCTTACTGTAGTCTTCAAATCTGGGTACTGTCTTACGTTTTAAAATCACAAAGGGAGTTTGGTGCCATCATGCTAACGTGACAGTCACGACTCATGTAGCTGTAAGGTTTTCTGCTTCTTTTGTTCTTACTCGCGATCTTTACAACATGCATTACATTACGTATTTCATGGCACACTCGTTTTATGCGTATTTGGCGCCACCTGTTGTGGGTGTATTATTGACATGTCAAAGTCTAGACCCTGAATATAAGACGACCGCGTTTTTTCAGATGTATTTCCAAGAAAAAAATATCATCTTATATTCAGGACAATACGGTAGATTTTAAGAATCTGAAAAGTTTAAATTTGTTACTATAAAAATTCCATGTGGCTTAACCATCAAATAAAAAGTATTAACACATACACTATTTTCAAAAAAAAAAAAGTATTTAAGGGTTCTTTAACAAAGCATGAATTATTAATTGTTAAAATGTAAGTTTTTGGAGAGTCACACCATATGACATTTTAAGGGTTAATTCACCCAAAAATGAAAATTCTGTCATTAATTACTCACTCTCATGTCATTCTAAACTCGTAAGACTTCCGTTCATCTTCGGAACACAAATTAAGATATTTTTGATGAATTCTGAGAGCTCTCTGACCCTCCCATAGACAGCAATGTAATTACCACGATCAAGGAGATCTGTAAAATAATCCATGTGACATCAGGGGTTCAACCGTAATTTTACGAAGCTACGAGAATACTTTTTGTATGCAAAGAAAACAAAAATAAAGATTTTATTCAACACCGCGTCACCCTCGTGCCATTTTGGAGAGTATCCACTGAACATAAACAGAGTATGCTATTCTGTGTCAGTTGTGTCACCTTGATCATGGTAATTACATTGCTGTCTATGGGAGGGTCAGAGAGCTCTCAGAATTCATCAAAAATATCTTAATTTGTGTTCCGAAGGTCTTGCGAGTTTAGAACGACATGAGGGTGAGTAATTAATGACAGAATTTTCATTTTTGGGTGATCTAACCCTTTAACTACCTGAACTATCCTTGTCTTTTCAAATTATATTTTTAAGAGAATTTTAGATCTTGACACAGTCCTCTCTATTATTTCTGTATTGTTGCGCCACATTATTTTAAAGTAGTGTTGGGCGATATGGTCATTTTTCAAATCGTCATATCGCCAGCCTGTGAGAGCGGCGATAGACGATATTATCGTGCGTGGGTGGGTGGGGGCAAGAGAGAGAGACTCTCTGTACTTGTCATAGGCTTTTTAATAACTATTTGGTGTTTTAAACCGCGCTCGCGTGTGAGAGAGAAAGAACGTGGAACCACCAGTAATCTAAATAATATACTTTCAAACATACTGATAAACTAACATGTTAAATATAAAAATATTTCAAACAGCTAGTTCATATATATATTCGGATTCAACAGTCATACATTGCTATTAGGATCGTGCGTCCTGTGAGAAGGAAGTTATCAGTCTGGTAAGTTAAGGTCTGCAAAATCAGTTAACTGTGAAAATCAAAGGTAGATTTATTTTAAAGACCAATAGTTTAACACTAAATATTGGACATAAACACGTTGAATATAAAAGTATTTAAAACAGGTAAGATTATATATTTACAGTAAAGTTAAATTAAACAGATACATCAGTCATTCAGCGCTCCGGACCGCACCTGACGCACCGTCACAGAAACAAGAATGAGATGCTTTCTAACATAACTGTAGCATTAAACTCAGTTAGTGAGGGCTCGGTTAAAATATTGCACATATATAGGCCGTACAGATTACTTGTTAAAGTGCAATGAAATAGGCCTACCTTATCTCAACAGACAATGTAGGTCTGTGTTTGTGGTTGGAGACTTCTTCACCGGCTACAGGCTCTAATCCTCGTGTTTGTGTCGGTTAAAATAACATACATATATAGGCCGTTCAGATTACTTGTTAAAGTGCAATGAAATAGGCCTACCTTATCTCAACAGACAATGTAGGTCTGTGTTTGTGGTTGGAGACTTCTTCACCGGCTACAGGCTCTAATCCTCGTGTGTGTGTGTGTGTGTGAGTGAAATGTGGTGCTGAAGTGAAATAGTGGGGCAAATTAGATAATAAGCCAAATTATAATAGGCAGCCTAATAATAATAATAATAATTGAATACATTAATTGGAGAATGAGCCTAATATCGTCTTGACTATCGACAAAGACATCTGCTATCATCTATCGGCACAACCCTATTTTAAACCTTTTTTTTTTTTTTTTTTGCCTAGAATTGTTCTCACACTTGACCTGTCACTCTCTCTGATTGTCTTAGGTCCTAGAGGATGTGACAGGAGAGGAGTTTGTGCTTCTGGTGCGTATCCTGTCTGGGCTGAAGATCATGCAGACTGTGAGCGGGCGGCAGCAGCTGGTGGAGCTGGTGGTGGAGCAGGCATTTCTGGAGCAGGTGCTAAACCCCACAGATGCAGACAGCGTCGACCGGCTCCTGCAGTGCACACGCCAGGCCTTACCACTCTTTTCTGTGAGTCAGCAATAATATTATAATATTTCTCCAGTAATATTCAGCTGTTAAATTTGTCACTTTCTGACAAAAACTTGGATGTCTGAATAAATTGCTCACAAAATTAAAAATAAGTGCCAAGAAAAAAATGTATGTAGTCACAGAATTTTATTTATATAAACATTTCACAGAACAACATTTTTTTGTCATTTAGTTTTTTGCTTTTATGATTAATATTATTATTATAGTTTCATTGAATATATTATACCAGTACTAATGCAAATAATACAAATCATAATTATAAACTTTTCTCATCTCTCCTCCAGAAAAATGTGCATTCCACTCGCTTTGTGACATACTTCTGTGAATTTGTTCTGCCCAGCCTCAGTCTGCTCACCAGCCCTGTAGCAGAATTGGACATCCAGCTGGAGGTGTGTATCACATGCTGGGAATCATGGAATCATTTCTGCGTATTAAGCTTGTATATGAGAGGTTTTTTTTAAACATGGAAAAAAAGCACATCTTTATTTATTTATTTTTGCCCAGATATTTGTAGAATGCAGGAAAATAAACTCAATATTTTCTGCTTTACAGGTACTCAAGTTATTAGCAGAGATGAGTCCGTATTGTGGCGACATGGACAAACTGGAGGTCAATCTCAACATGCTGTTTGAGAAGCTATTGGTAAAGACATACTTTAAACTCCTGACCTCACGCAAGAATTTACATTGACATTTAATCGTTTAGCAGACGCTTTTATCCAAAGTGATTTACAAATGAGGAGAACAATAGAAGCAATCAGACCAACAAGAGAGCAACATTATACAAGTGATGTCTTGCGTCTTATTTAGTCTAGCACAGTACACATAGCAAGGTTTCTTTTTTTTTTTTATAAATTAGAAAAACAAATAGAATAGGTAAGTGCTAATATTAATTGGTCAAGTACTGACGAAAAATAAACATTTTAGAAAGCTTTCCACTTCAGCCACTTTGTTGTTAAACATCATCTCATGCTGTGGTTCTGCATCTTTCTGTTTCCTAATGTCTCTAGGAGTTCATGCCCCTGCCTCCAGAGGAGGAGAACGGAGAGAATGCTGCCAATGAAGAGCCCAAGCTGCAGTTCAGCTACGTGGAGTGTCTGCTCTTCAGCTTCCATCAGCTGGGCAAAAAACTACCTGACTTTCTTATTGACAAAATCAGCGCAGAGAAGCTGAAGGACTTCAAGATCAGGTCAGATCTCATATTAATCATCAAAAGGACAACAGTGATATTGAATGTTGGTATTGAAAACATTTGAAATCTTGAAACATTTGCATCATTACTAGTCTTTATATAGAGAAATGTAATAGTACCAATACTAATGGGGTTTCATGATCCTCAATACCACAGCAAAAACAAATACTTTATTTTTCTACTTTAATATACACACTACTGCTCTCTCTTTTTTTTTTAAGGAAATTAATACTTTTATTCAGAAAGGATGCATTAAATTAATCAAAAGTGACAGTAAAGATATTATTAATGTTACAAAAGCTTTCTATTTCAAATAAATGCTGTTCTTTTGAACTTTCTATTCATAAAAGAACCTGGAAAAACAAAAATATTAAGCAGCACAACTGTTTGATGATAATTATTTTAATAAGAGGAGATAATTGATGATAAAAAGAAATGTATCTTGAGAGCATCAAATCAGCATATTAGAATGATTTCTGAAGGATCATGTGACACTGAAGACTGGAGCAATGATGCTGGAAATTCAGCTTTTTTGCATCACAGGAATAAATTACATTTTAAATTATATTAAAATACAAAGCAGAATTTTTAAATTGTAATATTTTACAATATTTCTGTTTTTACTGTGCTTTTGGTTAGAATAAGAGACTTGAAAAATCTTATTGCATTACTTTGTGAAGGGCAGGTGAACAGTGGGCATTAAATGTATAATTTTTTTGTTGTTTATTTCACAGGTTACAGTACTTTGCACGGGGGCTCCAAGTATATATTCGACAACTGCGTGTTGCTTTGCAAGGCAAGACTGGAGATGCACTAAAGACAGAGGAGGTATGATATTATACTTTTTACACTGATCTTTGCTTTGTAAAGTTAATAGAAATAAAGGTATGTATGTATTTACTTACTTTATTTATTTATTTGTCAATGTACCTAATGGGTTTCAAAAACCCTGGAAAAGAATGCTGAAAGACGTAATATGTATTCCAATTTTGTTTCTTCACAGAATAAAATCAAAGTTGTGGCTTTGAAGATCACCAACAACATAAATGTTTTAATCAAGGTAACATTCATGAATTCTGACCGTTTTGAAAGTCTTCGCTGTTTTATGTCAAATTTTGATCTCATTTGTTTTCTTCTGTCTTCTCCAGGATCTGTTTCATAACCCTCCATCCTATAAAAGCACAGTCACTCTGTCCTGGAAACCGGTGCAGAAGACGGAGGCAGCATCAATCGGGTACGGGAACAGATCAACCTTTGACATTCAGATCACCATGTTTAGTCTGCTTATAAAAGTTTTTGCCATGATCTCTGTTTGTCCTACAGCCAGAAGAGGCAGTCAGGAGAAGACATTGGGGCAACAGCCACAACAAAGAAGCTTCCCACAAATCTGCCCAGGAGGAACGCCCGACAAATATACAATCCGCCCAGTGGAAAATACAGCGCCAGCATTGGGAACTTCCCTTACGGTGAGTATCTTATCAAAACTTAATCGCTAGTCCTGTATGAATTAGTATCTGTACATATAAATGATCTCATCTGTGCCATCAGAACAACAAGGAGGCTTCAGGGGCGGCCGAGGACGGGGCTTCGGAGGAAGAGGCAACAGAAGCCGAGGCCGGATTTATTAAGAGGACAGCATATGCTTCTATACCCATGCAACTGCATTACCACAACACATTATCTTTGACAGAGTTTCTCCCGTCTGGTCCTTCCTGCATCTTACAGCCCTCCATCCATCCTTTTTCTCTCCACATTTTTTCTTAATTTTATTCTTGGGTGTGTTTTTGAAAATCCGTTCTCAGCCTCCTGTCATTGGTTATCCCGTTGGTTACAAATGTATGGGTTGTTTTTCTTTCTGGATCATCTTAGTGGAACAAAAAACTGCCAAGGTGTATTTTCTTTTCTTTTTTTTAAGTGTTTGTATGGTGACATGCATCCTTTGTATCTTTTCTTTTTTAACTTTTTAATTTTTCAGAGCTTTTTGTTGGATCAAAAAATCACAGATTTGTAAGAAGTAAAAATAATATCCTTCTGAATTTTCTCAAACTTGTATGGGTCAAATCTTATGCTGTCTTTCTTAATTCAGGACATAAATATTTACATTTGTATGACACCCCTTATGCCCAATGTTTGTTTGCTAACTTAATTATATTAAGTTAAAATATAGGAGGGGAG